CAAATTCAACACAGAGCAACCAAAGCAATAACTGAACTTAAACATCTTCCCGAAGCAGAAAGGCTCTGTACACTTGGCTTAATGACTTTAGAAGCAAGAAAAAACGTGGAGACTTAATTCAACAATATAAAATCACACATGGAATTGAAAAGGTCAACTTCTTCACCTCAAACGGTTCTGTGCCTTCAATCTCCAACTACAATCTACGCAGCCACAACCTTTATCTAGCTAAACAGCTAGTGATGAACTGCTCTGAACAATTTCACTTCTTCACAAACATAGTCGTCAATGACTGGAACGAGCTGCCACCTAAAACAGTTCATGCAATTTTGGCCAATGCATTTTAAAACCAACTCGACCAACTTATCATCCAACAATCAGCCCAGATACACCGTATATCCTCAGCATAGAAGTGTCTGGTGCTGCACTTCTACATCAATTTTATAAACAATTTTATTTTTTAAAATGCAACATTTATATGTTAAAAAAATGACTATAATCTATAATTTATTTATTATTAAAATTGAAACATTTTGACATTTTTAAAATTTTACGCACTTAATTACTGAATAAAGAAACATAACTTAAGATTCAAAAGAACAGTCCACAAGTACCAGCAGGAAAAACAGCAAAACCAAAACTGCAACCAAATTAGTAATATCTTTAAAGTTATTAACCAGTAAAGCATCAACCATTTGTCAACAGTTATCTCAAGATAGGATGAACATTCAGACACCTTCACAGTATGAATATTCAGGTCATTGGTTTATTCAGATTAACTATCAAAGAAGCTGCTAAACTTAAACAAGAAATATAAAAAAATATATACTTTTAAAAAGCAAATTTTGAACACTGCACTTTGATGGTAAACATAATAGTCACCTAAAATATCAAGTGTTAATGTTGAAGAATAAACAGAGAGAAGTTAAGTTACAAGTGCTAGATCAACCAGATGGAAAAGCAGATACTGTTATTTGACACCTTATCTTGTTGAACAATATTTCTTTAACAAATCTGTGTTTCTGAAAGCGGACTTTAAGGAAATACCAAAATTAAATAATGCGAGAAGAAATTCTTGAGCAAAATTAGCTCTTTTGGCATTTATTTTTATACTAGGAAGAAGAGACTTATTACTTTACAATTGTAGATTCATCTTTCACAGATGGGCAAACAATTGATTTACTGATCAAATGTACAATGCAGATGATTATCAGAAGCTATTTAGAGCTTTCATGGTCACAAAAAAGCATTAAATTTAATGAAAAAGTTTGAGAATTAGGAAACATCAAGACTGAAAATTCTCAGAACAAATTAGTGTTTCCGAAATGAGCAACCTAGTATTATCAAGTTTTTGACATCTGTAAAAAGAAAGAAAACCTCCAGCTTGTCTAACAAAACATAAGAATTGTACCTAGTGGTACCAATTGAAGTGTGAAATTTTAATTCAGTAAAAAAATTGAAGAGAACATGTTTTTAATGCAAGAACAAGTGTAATATATACATATTATATGCATGTTTTGTTTTAGTTAAAATGCTAAAGTACACATTAATAAAGAGAGTCCTCGAAATAACCCCCTTTTTCCTGTATGTACGCCTCCAGTCTTGGACACCATTCCTCGATTGATTTACGCATGATATCCAAGGATAAAGCATCCCATTCTCTGAGAAGTGATCGCTTGAGGGCATCAACGGAAGTGTGAGGTTTGCAGCACACCTGTTTAGACCAGATTGCGTAATCCAATGGATTAAGATCTGGTGATGCTGACGGCCAGGCATCCATGGAGATAAAATCAGGCACATTGGCTGTCAACAACCTCTGTGTTGTCTTCGCTTTGTGCGAAGGGGCACTGTCTTGTTGGAATGACCATTGTTCCCCGTTAAACAACGAGTCATTTAAAGGTCATTTAAAGATAAATGCGGGAACTATATAAAAAGCAGATGCCTGTTAACATGACAAGTTTAAACAAACTTCGCACTTCAATTGGTACTACAGGGTATATTACATGATAATTAAGCTGAATATTATACAACATATTTTTGACATATATAGCAGCTTATCTTTTCTGTAAAAATGTTACTTAAGTTTGTAATTTTATTTTTATTTGTAATTTAGAGTGTTATATTATAACAATAAACTGATAAATGTTTAAAAACTATATAACAAAATTCTAATAAAAAAAAAAATAGTATTAAAAAATAACAATCTTTAAATTTTATCCATACACATATATGGTCAATTGAAATTTTGGGTTTGTGGCGGACATTTTTCAACAAGAAAATTGAATTAATGTATTTTATATTACTTTAGTACAAATATTCATTGACTTATGCACGGCTGTGGAGTCTGAGTTGCGACATTTTCAGTGGAGCAGGCCTTCTCATAAGAGGTGTGTGATCGCACGCCTTATATGACCACGCATATAGTTCGTTGTTTTAACAACTTGACCACGACTCATTGCAAGTTTTGATAATTAGCGCATTTAAAAATTGCGCTAAAAAA